AGTGATTGTAAGCAACGTTTATAATAAAAAGAAATAATGTCGGGTAAAAATCGATTCAAAAATTAACTTCTTTTTAAAAATCAAATTCACCCCATGTAAGGCAGTAAAGACGCAAGGGTTTACTGGATGAGGAAGAGGAACCTTGCTGAGGAGCGGGAACAGAGGAAGGAGAATAGATGGCCATTGACATTGCATTTAAATTTTTGCAGATTAAAGCCGACGTTTAATCATGGAGAGTGTGTGACTCTTTCTGAATTGTAGAAAAATGCTATAGATTTAAATACCGTCACTAAAATTCATTTTTTGTACACTGAGCTGCTCCAAATATTTGAATATTTGAATTTATATACATTAACAATTCAGCGACGTCATATTAGGCGGTATTCTTTGAAATTACAGACGATAAAAATTTCTTAACTTCGAAATTATGGATGCCCACTTCAGAATATAATCAGTCATATTTTCCCTCCTTAAAATGGATATTTAAAATATTGCATAATATTTATTTACCAATAAGCTTGAGATTCTTTCTTTCTATGTGCCATGTTCTTTCAGGGCGTAGGCGATCATGGCTCTCCACCTTCCTCTATCCCTTGCAGTTCTCAACTAGTTCCTTCCCTCTTCTACATGCTCCAGACCATTTTCTGTTATCTACGTGCTTAAGGCCGCTAGATATGTGATGCGTTGTTTTCCCTAGTCTCTATGTCACTCTATTCGACCCGTGAGTATCAGATTCTCTAGGCCCCCTTTCCTTATTATGAGTCCTAGAAACTTCAGCTGCCTCTTCCTTAAGTATAAGCCTCCTCCTTCTTTAAATCTTTTCTAAGACCTCATCGTTGCTCACACGCTCGATCCATGAGATCTTCAGCATCCTTCTGCAGAACGATATCTCCGTCGCCTCTTCTTCATTTTTGAGGAAATCGTCCAATATTCGCTGCCCTAAAGAAGAACAGATGTCACGTAACAGCTCAGTATTCTTTACTTTGTTACCAAAGAAATCCTCCTGTCTCGCAATACTTTGCTCAGCTTTTGGCATGCGTCCTTAGCCATCTCAATACATCTACAGATCTCAGTGTCACACTTACCGTCTTCTGTCAGAACGATTCCTAGATATTTAAACTTCTGCGTCTGCTTGATTCTAGTGTTCCCGACCTGCAAATCGCATTTTGGGCTCATCCTTTTACTGATGACCATGCATTCTATCTTTTTGTAGTTTATACTTAGTCCCTTCTTCATGCTCTAAATCTAATTTTGGGATGTTTCTGGGGTCGATTATTTCATTATCAATATTTTCCATTCTTTTTCGCTAACTAATCATTTACTTTCAGTGAAGGTCTGACCAGTGTGTTCGTTCATTTGTTATGCAAATGTTATACTGGAACATACCTATTCTATTGTTAATAGACTCTCCCACATATAATAAGTAGTAGTAGTAGCAGTCACCAGGGGGCCATTAAAGTATCAGCCACCACAACTAGATTGCTGCGTCATTAACTATTATAACAAGTTCCTAACGTTTTGTACGTCGAACCTAATTTAAGACCGACTTAATGAAATACAAGCCTCCACTGTGAAACTACTTTATAACAGCAAACAAAATTGAAATTCTCATAATTAATTACTCATATTTTTCACATATTTATCCGACTATATAATATTACAAAAAAAATGCTTAGTGATATTGGCGCATTAAAAAAAAAACATACAGGCTAAGTTTCTTTACGAGCGTCAATAGCTTTCCCTATCTATTTCATGCGGCCGACAACTAGAATTTATACGCATAGATAAAACAACGTCAATCCGTGTCATATACATCTTCACATATTCTGTTTTCGCTATTCTAACTTAATTCATTCAGTTGTACTGCAAAAACAAAACAAAAAAGATGCACAAAATGTTTGTGTGAAGTTGTTCGCAAAGAATCATTGTAATTCATTTCTTTCAATTTGAAAGAAAAATAACACTCAATAAAAATAATTTAAATTTGTACAGCCGTGTTGAAGATTTGCTTATTTCTTCGCTCATACACGCATAAACCGCCACATACATACATACTTGTATTTTTGGAGAGAGATTTAAGTTTGAATGAAAAGATAAAAAAAAAACTGTGAGAGCGGCGTTCTCGTACAAGTGAGAATTGTTTAGTCAGTTAAGTGTAATACGTGATAAACGCTTGGGCGATTTCAATCACTTGAAGAAGGCCGGAGCGTACAACAGCCGAATCGTTGTGAATATGGTATTGAAGAATAGGATAACAGTCCGAATAATGTAAATAATGTAAGTAATCATAATACCTCATTTATGAAATATAAACAGATAAAGGCAATGATATTACTCTTTTTCCCAAAAGAAAATGTTCGATACATAACAGATTCTTTCCCGCAGTAGGTTGACATTTCTTTCTGTGGTAGACTGGTTGCTGACGATGGCTAAAGAACCAAGTCTGTTTTACTATTCAACCCATAGCTGAGGGGAGATGATGAATCCATACCTTTCCCAATGGTATTTGTACGTAAGTGTATCTAACGAACTCCAGTGGAATTCGAACTCGGCTCTTCGAGTTTTTACTCCAAGCCGATATCCATTAAACCACAACGCATAAATATTATTGAAAATAAAATTAATTGGTCTGAATTTTATGGCAGCAATCAATAATTGGACTGTCTTAAGATACAGGAAGATTCAGGGATAAGATCCAGTGTGATGATCTTAATCCTGGACAAAAGTGGAGAAAACGAAGAGGGACAGAGAAACAAAAAAAGAATTTGGTTCAATTTGGTGCATTACACACCCAAAAACAAAACGTGATCAGATTATATGTACAAAGAAAACATGGAGGAAGACGCTTGATCAGCGTAGAAGATTGTGAGCAAGCGATCTTTGGATCGTTATCTCACGAGAGGCAATGAAGAACTTTTGAAGTATGTTATGGACAGTAGGAATTTAAATAAGGAGAATATTGACGAAAATAAAGATTACAAGAAACGTTTCATGACTGGGAAATAAGCCACAAAAGAAGAAGAGGCTATGATATATGGAGATTTTGAATGAGAGACAAAAGAGCCGACTCCTACTTGAATTGGTTGATGAAATGTAATCTAAAGAAACGCTGAGAACGTGATAATAGCTGAACAAGAGCAGTCCCTAAATACAAATTTTGAGAAGAAAATGGTTGCCATCTTACAGAATTGGATACTTACAGGCTGCGTAGGCATAAAATGGGGAATGTGATACATAAGTGCTGGTGAAACGTTCCCGGAGAAAGAATACAAGAGATGCCATGACAAACAGTGTTACATCTCCATTAGTGTTAGAGCCGGAAGTATGATTCCAAACTTCCGGTAAATGGTGCATTGACTGAATTTTTATTTTTTACGACTTATCAACCATTTGGAGGTTAGTTAAAGTCAGAAAATAATTTTAGATTATAATAATTTTTTTATATAATCATTCTCTGATGCAAATCCTACAAATTCACCCATAGAAGAAGACATAGATTTATATATTTCTAAGGTACTCAGACATTTGGCCAACAGACATTTGACCGACAGATATTTGGCCGACGGACATTTAACCAAAAATGTCGTGGCATACTTATATGTCACACTCTTTATCGTAATTTTTTTAAGAAAAAGAGTAATAGTATTGACCTTATCTGTCTATATCTCTGAGATGAGATATTACGATTACTTAAATTATTTAGATTATTCGGTCTGTTATCCTCATCTTAATTACCATGTTCACAACGTTTCGGCCGTTGTACACTCCAACCTTCTTCAGGTGATTGGAATTTCGAACCGAGTCATTTATTTCATCCACCAGGGTAGTTAATAATGTTAATAATTTATACGTTCTTTTTATAGATACAAATATTTAGGTAAATGCTCTGTTTATAATAAACAGTATTAACAACATTTACCGGCCTGAATGTCCGAAAAATTTTCATAGAAAAATATATGTTCTCTCATAGGATCGAACCTGTATTCTATACGGAACCGTCATATAGCCTGACGTGCCTTAACCGATTGGACCACGGAGAAGCGTTCGGTTAGCAAGGTCGATTTTAATGTTTTTAAACACAATTCTCCATGATTCTCTCTCATTCATTCAGGTCTTCTCAATGCGTATCTAAATGTAAACAAATGACGTCACACATTATGAAATGGTAAAAGTCCGACAATTATTTTTTAAGACATATTTTTATGTTTATACGTTCTTTTTATAGATACAAATATTTAAGAAAATGCTCTGTTTATAAACATAGAAAATATGCGTCCTCTGACAGGAATCGAACCTGTAAAAATTTCTCGGACAATCAGGCCGGTAAATGTTGTTAATACTGTTTATTATAAACAGAGCATTTACTTAAATATTTGTATCTATAAAAAGAACGTATAAACATAAAAAATGTCTTAAAAAATAATTGTCGGACTTTGTCCATTTCATAATGTGTAATGTAAATAATGCAAGTAATCATAATACATCACCTCTGAGATCCAATTACCTGAAAAAAGCCGGAGCGTACAACGGCCGAAACGTTGTGAATATGGCGATGAATATAACAGTCCGAATAGTGTAAATAATGTAAGTAGTGTTGACCATTTTTTACATAACAAAAAGATTAGATTCTTCAGCATTAAATTCGTAATATAATTTCTTCAATGTGTGCTGCATATATTTATATTTATTTAATGTATTAATTTATAATTTTCCTTTTAATTATTTATTTTTTGACAGGCTTTAATTTAACCACTTGAAATTCAGGAATAATTGGGTGTAATCCAATTTAACAGTTTGAAAATTGGCATCCTAATCGGAATTATAACAAATTTTGGAATCGTCAAATTATTAATAGGAGCCCCATATTTATCAATCGACTTTCTCAAAGTCTCTCGTAATTTAACATTAAACAAAATAGTTTTTATGAAATATCAAAATAATTTCAATGATTATTTTATTTAAAATATATTATTACCATTTACACATCATGGAAGTCATACCAACGACACGAGGAGGAAGAATTGTTGATAGAAGAAAAGACAGAACATAGTGGTGATGTGAACGTAAAAGAAGACATGGAGAACGATTATATCTTATAATCCTTCTAAGTAAAATACTTAAAGTATTGCTTGTTATTATTTTCATTTGTACTTTTTCGGGGAAATGACCGTCGGCCAAATGTCTCTCGGCCAAATGTCTCTCGGCCAAATGTCCGGCCACGATTTCTAGAGTATTTGTGCGTAAATGAATGTAGAGAACACAACTCGGATTCGAAACCGTTTCCTCGATTTATAATTCCGAACTGTTTTCCATTTCACCACCTGCATACACAAGATTGCAGCACCTATGATTCTAAAGTCCTTGGTATGACGATAAACTACATCCGGTAGCAGATCGGAAGATTGGGGGTTTTGAAGAGCCTAGAAACACCTTATAATTGCTGTTGTGCCCTGGTCTACTCTGATCTGGAGTGGTAGCGCCAGATAGGGTCCCAGGCCTGGGCAGTTAGTGAGTACCTAAACAGAAAAACTATGAACGCATAAAAATACAATAGTAAATATACCAGAAATACATTTTTATATAATAAAAGACCGACAATAGATGACCAAGAATATATTTTATCTGTACTTGAAGGTATACAGTTGTGTTCAAAATACAGGGTGTTTCAAAAAATTTGATATCATTTGCAATCTAATAACATTGTTAGATCTCCTTCAAATGACTTCAAATTTTAATAGCATCTTTATGTTTAATATTTGTTTTATGTTTTTGTGTTTTTCTTATTTGTATTTTTATGTTCTTTAATCTTTTTCTTTACAGGTATAAAAAGGCGATTTACTAGAAGAGAAAAGGCGTTTTGTGTGTTGAAGTTTGCTAGAACACAGTCAAACAAGACTGTGCAGCGTGCATTTATGAGAGAGTTCTCTAGAAAGTCACCAACAGGAATGCAGATTTGGAGATGGCATAAAAAGTTCAAAGAGGAAGGCTGTCTGTGCAGAGCAAAAGGATCCGGACGACCACAAACTTCACATTTGTGAAATCGTTCACATAATCCACATGCTTTTGAATTTCTCATTCAGATTTGGAAGAATAAATCTTATGATCTTCAACATTAATACTTTTTAATTTCATTTGCCTTAATCATGTACTTTCTGTGATATTTACATCTCAAAGGATATCAAATTTTTTGAAACACCCTGTATATTAAGCTGAAGCCACAAATTAGTGTTTAAATTTAGATTTTGGCATTAATTAACCCATAGAGGTGTTGATATGCCGCTAAATAAAACAAATCAAACAAACAACCAAAATTAAAGAACTCTTTCATAGCATGAATCCATATAATATCCGACAATATCGTAAAGAAATCAAACTGTATTCCAAAGTATAACTTAAAAAACTACAACATAAAACACACATATCACCGCCTCTAATAATTAATGACCACACAAACATGTATATGCACAAAAGCTGAGCATCATCTACCATGTATTCAATTGTGAAAGCAGAATAACATATGATATTTTTATTACTTCAAATCTCGCAAGAAAATTAAATTTCAGCATTAAATGATCCATAAAATTTGATATGCCGTTAAAGAAATTAACTAAGCTGGTATGAGCAAGCGGTCACCCACCTAGGTACTGACCAAGCTCGACATTGCTTCACTTCAGTGATCGTACGAGAACCGGGGTTTCAACGTGATATACCTGAAAGCCGACTAAATGATACAAGGGGAAGGTACCTGTGAAATTTCCATTCGATATCACAATCCAGACTGGGAGAATTATTGGACACACCAAAGCAGGCACAATATCGATCATAAAAATTCTCTTGATTGATAGACATAGGATGCCCCGGAGATTGTAACATTGCGGGTAAAGAACCGTACGTGCCAAGGCTGTGGTAAATTTCATTTGAACAGTTGGGTCGATTCCAAAGAACCAATAGAATAACTTTGACATCGGAATCGCGTCCAGGATAACAACGGTGCAAAAACACAGCAATATGGAAAATGCTGTCAATCTGAGATCTTGAGAATTGAGAGAATCACCTCAAATTATTTCATGTTTTAAACCATGGCCATGTCAAATTTAATAATATAATATTTTAATTTTATAAATATAAAATGTATTCTTTCCCGTTGCAGCCTGGGTCTGCAAAATATATTTGCAAATGGCGTTACTTACGGAATATGTGTATTAGGGTAATTACTTTTTGATTTCTAATATATTTGATTAAAATTCGATGAACTTTTGCAAAATAAATATTAATAATGAAGAGGGGTCTAATTCAGTTTATTTTTCAACAAATGTCATTCCAAACACAAAATTTCTGAAATCGCATATAATTATACTTGAACGATGATTTTTTTTTTGAGCCTTCTAGAAATTTATGGAACCTTCTAGAACTTTCTGCAACTTTCTAGAACTTTTTTTTATTTATTTATTTGTAATTTTATATTTTTTTCTCTTATAATTACAAACTATTAAGTGCGTTAACAAATACATAATTACTATCTAATTACATCATTATCAAACTGAAAAATAAAGTTTCAACAGGGTTGCAATGTTTGTTTATTTGTAAGGTTGTATATTATGCTATGGCTATAAACTGTCAAATGTGTTAAACAATAAATAAAGCTACTGAAACATTTTTCTTACCCTTAATGCGTACATGGTAAAATGGCATCTTTTTTAGGGGGGGGGTGACCTTCTTTACTGTGTGTTTTTGTCAGTATGTGTATATATATTCTTTTTCCATTTATATATATTGTATTATTATGAGGAAATCTATTTAACAAACCAAACTTCGCCTGAGGAGTGTCACAAGATTTGAAACCTGTGTAGCAAAATATAGAAAATAAAATATTAAAACGTCCATACAATGATCAAAGACGTTTGCGGTCTTCTTTCTTTAAATATACGCTTTTCTCTTGGAACAATAACGTCAACGATTTATATATATATATATATATATATATATATATATATATATATATATATATATAAATATAAATCGTTGTGTCAAATATCAATCAAAACTCGTAAATAATTATATAGACCACACTACAACAAGGTTTGACATGAAGACTCACTCTACACCTTTCTGACCATAGCTCAATTAGATCTCATTTAAATATTCATGGAGACCTACCGGACCCAATTCTTAACATATTTCTTGACAACACAAATATAATAGCATCATTTACATGCAAAAAAAAGGCTAAAAATAATGAAAGCCTTATTAATAAAATAAAAAAAAACAGCACTCAGTAATATCAACTATGAACAGGGGCACAATTTCTTTTTGTTTTGAAAAAAAATAAAAACATATAAATACATACATACAACAAACTATTTCTTATTTAACAGTTAAAATATTTCATGCTTGAAAATGGCTAAATGTATAGCCGAAAGCGCTCGGATAAAACGAACATTCGGACATTTTTATATAATTTATCACCCGAAAAGAAAAAAAAATAATAGGTCACATGAGAAATTGTATAAAAAACTAAATCAAAGCACCTTGTTTGTCATATTCAATGAAATGTGAATGAAAGGATTGCTGCAAAAATACAAAAATTATATATATATATATATATATATATATATATATATATGTGTATGTATTTAGTTATTATATATATATATATATATATATATATATATATATATATGTGTGTATTTAGTTATAATACACACACACAAACACACACATGTATATATATTATAATTTTTCATATAGTCAAAAACAATTTACTCACTACACCTTGTTTCGGTGCATTTAGTTGCACTTCGACTGGTTAGAACCAAAAATGATACCATAACCTTAATGAATATATCTGAATTCATTTCAGTTCCCAAACTACAAAATAATGTATACAATATTGACCAAATCCAGATACTGAATTAGGCGGTCGAAAAAGAAATACTAAATATGAAGTTTGGCCAGTTTTCCCGAATTCATATTTTGAGGCATTGAATATTCTAAATCAATTAATTGTCGTTTTAATTCAACAAAATTTGTGCAACTAAATTCTAACTTCCTAATAATATACATCTACCTTTTCTCAATCGTGACAAAATTCTGCTCACTTTGACATATTGTTTACGTCCCGAAACTAAATTCAAATTCAGGGGGATTTCTATGGTAAAAAACAAAGGGTACTGAGCAGTTATGTGGCATCTGTCGTTGTATACGGCAGCGAATGTTGGACGGTATCCTCAAGGATGAAGAAGAGATTCGAGGCGGCAGAAATGTCGTTCTACAGAAGGATGCTAAGGATATCATAGACCGATCATGTGAGCAACGATGAGGTCATGAAGAGGATGCAAACAAGAAAGGAACCTTATGCTTAACATAAGGAAGAGGCAGATGAAATTTATGGGACACGTGATGAGAAAGGAAGGCCTGGAGAATCTGATACTCACAGGTCGAATAAAGGGAAAAAGAGACAGGGGAAAGCAGCATATGGCGGAGAGATGGCAGATGGGGGAGATGGCAGAAACACAAACCCTGTTGTGAGCCACAAGGGATAGGATGAAGTGAAGGGCCATGATCGCCTACGTCCTGAAAGGAAATGGCTCATAAAAAGAAAAAGAAGAATTAGGCGGTCGAAAGTATTAGGTTGGTGCAAAAATAATGACGTAATAATGTCGTTTTTTGACGTTAAAAATACGTCCAAAAACGACATTATTACGTCATTATTTTTGCACTAACCTAATAATTGAACAAAAGCAATACTAAATATAAATTTTGACCAGTTTATCCTGAATGTATATTTGGAGGCACTGAATATACTAATTCATTTGTCACTTTAATTCAACAAAAAATGTGATATTGAATTCTAACTTCCTAAATATACCTTATTTATATAGATGTACTTTTTGTCAATAATAGCAAAATTGTGCTCACCTTGACATGTCAAATTGCATAATATTACGTACATCAATAGGTGTCATAATATAGGTGGGATTTTTTTTTCAAACGTTTTTATAGTGGATACTTTGTATTTGAAATAAGCACAATAAATTCCTCTTTGAAATAATCCATCAGTCAGTTATGTGCCATGCGGGATACACGCTTTATGCGATCATGTATCTTTCGATACATGACTGACGAGGCAGATTTTTCCTTCAGTAGGTTGCCATTACTTTCTGCGGTAGATCAATTGCCATCCAAGTTTCTAGAACCCGGTCTGTCCTGCTATTTACCCATAGCTAGGAGAAGAGTATTCATACCTTTCTCAAGGGTATTAGCACGTAAGTGAATGTAATGGATTCGACTGGAATTCGAACCCGACTCTCCGGTTCCACAATCCGGGCCACTAACTATTACAAATTGACATTATATATAATATACGAGAGTTACCTCCCTTGATATACTGTTTACGTCTAGAAACCAAATAAAAATTTAAAATTATTTTATTTATTTATTTTTTTATTATTCTTAGTTCTCCAAATTTCGAACTTATGAATTTGAACGATATAAATTATGAATAGTTAATTCTATATTTTAAATAGACAAGTTTGTAAACCTAATTTTGAATCACAATCACGAGAACGCAATAGATAACATTCAGAATCCACACCTGAAGATTGCATAAACTGCATAAAACTCCAAGTAGTGTTATCGACGTTCGATATCATATATATTCACAAACACACACACACATATATATATATATATATATATATATATATATATATATATATATATATATATAATCTAATATATGTTGATTTGAATGTAGATGTTAAATGAGATACTTCATCCTAAGAAAAAATATAATTATTTCAATATATTAATTTAATATTTTTCTTAATTATTTTTCTGATATATTATTTATTTTGATATGTCTTTCATTCTGAATTATCTCTTTCATATAAATGGGATTATCTCTTATTATTGAATATAATATTAGTTTATTAAATTTAAACTACATTCAGATTACTACTGTATATAAAATAAATAGGTCATATTTTCATTCTCTTTTTTCTCTCTCTTTTTCTCTTCCTTTCTCGTCTGACCCCACCCCCAATATCCTCATACACTTCTTCCTTACTTTTATTTGCTCCCTTCCTGTCTTGTCTATTCCTTATCTTCTCCTTTTCCTTTTATCATTTTCTTTCATTCATTCTTTCTTTCTTTCTTTCTTTCTTTCTTTATTTCTTTTATTTTATTTCAATAATTCATCACCATAGACTGGTTTGAAAATGCTGATTAATTATGGTAAAATGGCATCTTTTCTTTGCGGGTGAACTTTTTATACTGTGTTTTTTTTGCCAGTATTTATATAGATATTATTTCTCCATGCATATATATTGTATTATTATGAGGAAACCTATTTTACGAACCAATCATCACCGGAGGAGTGTCATAAGATCCGACACACGTGTAGCAGAAAATAAATTATGAAAAAAAAATCCACAGAATAATCAAAAACGTTTGTGATCTTCTCTCTTTTAAATATACAGTTTTCGCTAGTTGGAACAACAATAACGTCATATATATATATATATATATATATATATATATATATATATATATATATATATATATATTTGAATTAGTTAACTTTCAACATTTGAAATATAGTAGCTAATGAATATTTGGAAATATATATATATATATATATAAATATATATATATATATATATATATATATATATATATATATATATATACGTTTAGCTTCATTA